GCAGCGTCGGGTGCTTGGATATGGCTTTCGCTTTGCATCCCGGTTTCTTGGTATGCAGACGGAGCTGAGGTTTTCTAAGATTCTGGAAGACCTGCTGTCCTTGATCTTCGATGCTTGCAGTAGGCCCGCTTATTTCAGCACACATATTGCCCGGCCCAAGTGCAAACTCAGCGATCTCACCTGGATATCAGTCTCATATTGTGGCTGATTGTCGAAAGCACCCATCGCTGCTTGTTCGAGAATTATGACGACCTGTGACTCAATCATTGTGCTGCGTTTGCATTGTGACACTGCCACTCCAGTCGTTTTGGGTGCAAGTAGATGGCACCCTTCCCCATTTTGCTTTAGAAACATTTGCTGTACTTGCCCGCAATGGAATCCATGTCAAAGCCATGGCCCAGAGCGAAAGAGAACATTCCTGGAGTTCGAGCAAGAATGCAGAATAAGATCGCAGAAGGCAATATCGGTTTTTTGGTGGGCCATGCAGTCTGGCCATGGTTCACTTCAAGACTGACGCATCATGCATCAAATTCCCACGTACCCTCCCAAAAGCATAAACTGGAGGATTGAGGGGAACCTGGTAGATACTGTTGATTCTGGCAATAGGCATCGCTTGTTCTCAATCCCACCCATGTGGCTCATCAATAGCCTTTGTCAGCAGCTCGAGCAAGTTGCGGGGAGAGAGAAAGCAGCTTATTTGGTTTTGGAACTAAAGAGGAGCGTTGTCCCGTAATCAATTCTCAATGGACTTCCCTGAGTCAAGCTGGTTGCTCGCCAGACGAATCATTGACTCAGGGGATTTGTCGGAGGTCTCATCGAGCAATGACTAGAGATGCTGCACGAGCGAAGATGGTCAACACTCACCAACTCGCAACTGTTCCTCGCATTCCTCGAGCCTACTTTTTGCAACTTGCAATCTTACGTGCGGCTCTCAACATGCTGTCACCAAGATGGCAGTGATCGGTTGAGGCTGACTGAACTTTGAACAAAAGCAGTTGTTTTGAATACCTTACATGCGGGTGGCACCACGTGCTGTGCACAGCGTCGTTTAGTGCATCAGCAGTGCAGCGTGCAGGCAGCATCAGTACACGGAGATGTACACGGATCTTTGTCGGAGACTCGGAGCTTGACCTTTGGGGGGACATCAACGGCAGTCACAAGGGGCGTTTGATCGGGCGCGAATCTCGTGAGCGATCAATCTCAGCTTCATAGACATCAGGGATTTCTAGAAGCATCACGGACATCATGGACAGCGGAGTTTCACAAGAGGTTGATTCCTCTGTGGGTGCTGCACTGTGATTTGATTCCATAGGTTTGCGTGAGTGGTGCAGGCCAGAAGCTTTTGGACCACGTGGCCCAGCAGAGGCCAAATCTTGATGGGCGCGCCACTGTGCGAGGCTCAGAGTTCCTGTGTTCGTGCAAACTAGGACCCCCGGCAATAGTGTTCCTTTTGGTTGTTGAACCAACCTGAACACACTGCGCGAGAAATGGCTGAGCCAAGTGTTGCCACACCTTTGCAACCTCAGGTCTGGGAGAGGTGCCAGTACATCTTTCAGACAATAGCGTGTGGCTTAGTTTTTCAGGCGACATTCGGCCAACCTTGGATACGTGTATACATCATACATATATACATATGTATTATAGTGTCAAGTTGATCCTGCTTCTGGTGAGTAAATGCACTCAGATAGGCAAGGACTCAGATGGCCAGCAATCATGTGAATCATACACAAATGTTGAAGTGGAAGGCTGAAGTAGTGGTTGCACTGATGGTTCGCAGGGGGTTAACAATCTCTAGCTTCCAGCCCCTCTCATAGCCTCCAAGCAGCCCTCATATTAGTCGACTCGAGGTTCTGAAGCCTCCAGAGATTTCAGCAGATTTGCCAGAAGATGAGTACATGGACAAGAAGGTGGTCCCAGCGAGTCGTTGTTGTCGCAAACTTCCGAAGCCTTCTGAAGAGCCGACAGCGTGATTTTGGAAGCTGGGGGTTGGGGCCAGTGATACCCAGGGAATCCCGTTTAAAAGTCATCAAGTCGTCATGGTTGGTATCGAAAGTGATATTCAGAAGTCTTGGGAGTGGCGCATGTTGGTGTCGCAGATGTTGGGCGATTGATTCTTCTTGATGGTTGAAACCACAAAACATGTCACGTTCCAGGTAGGGGGTCCCCTTTCTGAGAAACCAAAAGGAAGCTTCAAAATGGCCAGGCGAAGATCAAGGAAAAGATGGTGGGGATGGTGAAGTTCGGCGGGGCACAGCCCTCAGAGTTCCTGGAAGCGCGAGCCAGGGCTAGGGATTGATTCAGACCCTGGGGCCCCTGGAATGGGAAGCCAAAAGGAGGTTGTTTTCAAGTGGGTGTGGCTCAAACTAGGGGAACGCCCCGCAAACTCGTTTGGTCTTCTTTCGGATTTTTCGTCTAAAACCACACGAAAAGGGTTCCCTTGGACCTTCGCTCCGCGCGCGGAACCGGAACCTCGGGGCCAAGGATCTGGTTGGCCGCGGGCTTGTGCCTGCAGAGGGCGTCATGTGACGCTGGCAAGGTTCAGAGAGCCGGGGTCATCGCCACTTTTGGGGCTGCCGTGGGAAAACTGGAGGTTTTCCAGGAAACCGGTTGGTTGCCCTGAAGCCACCGGGGGAACATGGCATACTGGCTTTGAGGCTTAAATTTTTGGCCCTTTTATTTGTGGCCCTTGCAGCAAGGTCAGAATTGGTTGTATACTCCCATGTTCCCCTTCCGAGTGATTTGTGTGTAGTGGAACCCATCTTTGCTGTTCCGGTTTTCGGCAAAACAGGGCTGCCAGCTGCGAGACCCTCAAAGTTGGCTCACGGCCGACAGGGTTAACCTTTTGGAACATCATCAGGGTTGCCGACTTTAGACTCAACACAGCTTAACTTTTTGGAGGGGTCCAACAAGACCGGAGATGAGACTGGCAGGTTTGACCGAGCCACTCGAAGACCAAGCCGCTCCATTCGCCAGGACTTGGATTCACACTCTCCTCAGTGAAAAGACTGAGGAGGTCTTCGCACACGAGGCGATGCATGCGTCGCATGTCCATGTTGGCCATACTAGCCCGGACATGGGATGAAATGGACGGGGCTCTGGGCAAGCACCATAGCGATTCGCCAAATTTGAGGAGGGTATGGATGGTCGTCACCTTGCATTGGCAAGCACATTTTGACGTGTGGGGGCAGCAGCCATTTCTGCACTTTGTTAGTGTGCCCGATCCAAAACAACTCTTTGGCTGCTTCCTGAAGCTGTGCACTGGCAGGGTGAGGATGGGGCGCTCGTGAAGGACAAGTCTTGACGGTTTTGGATGGCTGCGGGTGCAAGATGTGTAGAGGCGTACTGTAGTGCGACTCAGGGTGTTTGGAGACATGAGTAGATGACAATATTGGGAGCCTCTTCGGTGGTTTGGGGAGGATATGAGGAGACTATCAGAAGTTCTTACTGAGAAACAGAGCTTTTGTCCATGTCCTTTCTTGGGAAACAAGCAAGTCTGTCTGGGCTCACATGGCTTGCTACGTGAGTTGCTCCCGCCACCGAGCTGTTGGAGACTCGGGGATTTGCTTTGAGCCCAGGAGACAGACAAAGATGTTGAACAGCGAGAGGATCCTCGGCAGATCGCATGTTGCCGTCGCACATCCAGACTTAGGATGCATTTTGCATTTTGCCAGTGACTCAAAGTGAAGCAAACAACAAATTATACATTCTATAGCTGGGCCTAACTCTAACCATGGACCATGACTGGATTCTTTTTTGGACCATTCGAGGTGCAGCTGGAAGTGCTCTGCGCCATCCTGGCCAGCTCCGGCCTCGGAGTCGGTTGCGGAGGTTTGGTGCGACCGCTAGATGTCCGGAAAATGAAGACAGCAATAGGGGATTCTCTCTAATTGTTCTAGGTCTTGTGTCCACTACAACAGCAGATTTTGCTCTCCGTGGCTGAGCAACTGATTTTGTCCTCATATTGTTGGCCAATTGAGATCGAGGGTTCGTTCACTCTGGAGATTCTGAACGGGAGTGGGGTAGATGAAGGATACTAAGGATCAGTGCGTGTTTGGTGGAAAGCTGAATCTGTGGCAGGCATGGGAGGCTCCCTCTCAGACCCGACTGTCTGGAACGAGGAGAACAGGCGGGATTTGTTTGAGAAAACTCTGACAGCGAGGATTCCTTGGATGATTTTCGAAAGGGGACCGGGAATACATCTATTTGCGAGAGCCCAAACTTTTGAGACACCACTTCTTCCATGAGGGCTACTTGTCTTTGCGTCCAAAGCGTCCTAAGCAAAATGCCAGGCTCGTCATAGAGGATGTCTTCGAGCAGCTGGAGCAGCTGTCCGTCGACGATGAGCGGTTGCCAGCATGCCTTGATTGGTCGAGGGATGCAGCAGTCAATGTGAACGTAGCTTGCGCATCAGTCCATCATTTTGAGGGCTGATTGGCTTGGCCTTTGGCTTGGCCTTTGCCGCTGTTTGCTGTTTCTTTTCCTTGGGGGTGGGGGGTAGGGTCAACTTCGAGCCAGGTCCTTGCGTATCAGATGCCTTATTCGGGATGTGCTGGACTTGCGCATGGTGGGATCCCCAGGAAAAGCCTGGCATGGCTCAACTTGGAAGTTGGCCTTTCCAGTCCTGTGGTCAAATTCCAGTGCTGCGGTTTGTGCCTTGTGTTGCTTTCTTTCAGGTTGACTTGAGAGGGGCGCACATTCCTCAACCAGGGTTTCACTTTTTGACTATTTCTAGATAGACTTAAACCCAGGGGTTCCCCTTTTGGGGGTACTGGACCACCTTGGTTGAAGTCTACCGCGTAGTCAAAAAGTGGAACCCTGTCCTCAACTATTTGGCTCCTGTTCGCAACGCTCGCTACACCTCAAGCATCGCTCGAGGCCCAGTGGAAGGAGAAGGCGGGCAAGCTGAAGCCCACTGCGCCGGTGACCCAGCTGCGCCACAGAAGCGCTCGGGTTCTTCTCCTCCGCGATGAACACGTGGATTGAACGTCCGATACTCTTTGGGGGCTTGACGGGTCTTGCTCAACCGCGGGTTTACACATTCTCCGAAAAACATAACTTTGAAAATCGTATTGGTTGCCTTTTATTTGCCCACAGCCCCCAATGCAGTGTATTCTGCACACACCTTTTCCTTGACTTGGGGGTTCAATCATGGGTGGCAGTTCTGATTTAGTGTCATCCCATGTAAAGGACCTTTGAGCAACCCCAGTTCAGACTCAACCCTTCAACCCACACAGACACATCTCAACACACACACACACATATACACATACCCACCTTAAAGACACAAACACACATCTCAGATACAGTCACACACACACAGGCACACCTCCCCATGTATCTCGTTTCGAGTTTCGAGGCTCCAGCGGCAGAAGGATGAGGACGAGCGCCTGGAGACCAATCTCCGGAGTGAAGCGCCGGAGGCGTGGAGCGACGCGGCGCTCATGTCGGCTTCACCAGAGTTTGGGATTCAGGGTACAAGGATATAAACCATGTTGAGGGACCCAACAGAACATGGGGAAAAAAAACACCCACTGCATAACCACTACAGTGAATACATATATATATATAATATGTAAATGCACATGTTGTATTCTGGGTGGTTTGGGGGTGAAAATTGATGGGACCATATCCTCACCGTTGGCAAGTAAAGGGGATGACAAACCCACGTGGGGGGAATTCTGCCATTCCACCCAACTGCAGCGCCCCCCCCCCCCCGCCACTAGAAAGGTTTTGAGAACCCAAGAGCCCCTAAGGAATCTTCTGAACCTTTCCTGTGGGCGGGACCTGGCTTCTAGGAAAAGATGTGGTAAAGCCCAACATAAGAGTTCTTCGGCCCTTTTTGGAACACCATATGGGCCATACTTCGTGCCTGAGAAACGCGTGTTCAAGGAAGGGTACCACTCTTGCCTGCTCAGCATGTGGTTGAGGGGGCACCTGCATGAATTTTAGTGACCCCACTCGAACGATTGGTGACCAAATCCTTTAAAATTCACACCCATGTGGCACAAAGCCGGCTTGCATCATTCTGTTCACAGCATTCCTGGATGCCTGTGCGTGTGAAGGCATTTAAAACCCGTTAGATTCTTTTGAAGGGTGTGTCCCTCCAGGGTTCTTACCCTGGGTTGCTTCAGGGTAGCTAATTGAGCAGCACAATAAAGCTTGGCAACAAGTAGACAATTGGAAAAAGTAGAAGGGGGAGGGGGTGTTCTATCGAGCCCCTGCGAAAGCCAAAGCGGTTTCGCACTGTCCGCCGCGAAAGCAAAAACACATGTGTTCGCGAAAGCATTCCGACAGGGCCCGCAAATGCAAACATCTGGTACGGTTTTGTTGCACAAGAGTTTGCACCGCAATTGGAGGGGGAACATGAAGTTGGGAATGCCACAAGTTATGATGCCTCTACTTCCTCATTCCCACTCATTTTTGAGGTTCTTCTTCCCCAAATCTTTTGCCTTTCGAAAGGCCAAGCGGGGCCAAACGGGGGGCCAAAAGGTAAGAGACTCCGCGCCTGCCCAGTTCGTGCCGGGGTCCAAGGGCGGAGCCCTTTGGACCTCCGACCGGCTGCTGGAGGTGGGATCGATCGCATCGGGTGAGCCACTTACCATGTGGCGGGAGAGCATGCCGAAAGAACCCAAACTCCTGCGAAGGATCCGGGGAAAATCGGATGGACAATGTACACACATATTTTTCATGGTAAACGGCTCATTTCCACCACAGGCCCCAAGTCAAACTCATTCCAAAGGGTCCCATTGGGGTCTCGCGACTTCGCCAAAAAAAATCCGCACGGCATGGATTCCTTTTTTTCTTCTTTTTTTTCTCCCGGAGTGGCATCGGCTGGCTCGCACCGCAGCTTGGTCCATGATTCTTTGAGAATTCAATGTAGGCGAGTATTTTGAGGGTATTCGCAACCTTTGTATTGGTTGTTTTAAAGGGAAAGATAAAGTATAAAGTTCTAGTGTTTGAGCTACAGCGTCAACAAGGGCGAGCGCATTTTGTTTGTTAGTTTGGGAAGAAACAGAACCGGAATTAAAGAAGACATGGGCAGGAGCCTCAATCTAGAGGGACTGACATGTTGCAAGAAGGGAGCAAGGTTTTTTGCAAAGCTCGGCAACCTTTGTGACTGGTCAGAAAACGACGCTTTTGTTTCAACACCAGTTCCGCCTGAGCAGGGCGATGGCAACGTGACCGTGAAGGGTACACACAAATAGTTACCAAGTGAATGGATCGCTGAATATTTCCTGTAGTCTATGGGTCAGAAAAAGAATCATTTTCAAACCCAGGGGGACTCCCTATTTCACCGCTAAATGTCAAGTGCAAACGCAGCACAGTGTTTTATATGCTTCTGGGGGCAATGTTCGTAATTGTATGGGTGGCTATGGCAGCCTTGAAGCTGCGCAGCTTCAGCCGGCCTGCTGCCAGGGCAAGCCGTGGATGGACGCGGCGCTCCTCGCGAGCTTGGAAGTGGTGGAGCATCACTTGGCGCCGCGCTGAGTTGAGCTGAGAGCCGCGGGCGGGGTGGAGCCAAGGAGACCAAACTACTGAAAGAAGGCGCAAATCCCCGTGAAATACGGGAGCGAAAGAGCCCAACTACCCCCAAGATGCTTTGGTTGGGCAGAGAATATTGGTGTGTGGAGGGAAATCCGTGCTCGAGCAAGGAAGTGATCGAGGACAGAGATGCAAAGCTGCAGCGGCTGAAGTCACTCATCCAGCTGTACCATCTCATTCAGGACCACCGTGCCGCCTGCATACTGCATCCAGTGCAAGAGTCTCACCCCTACAAATTGGCTTTTCCGTTTCGCTTCTCGTGATTTTTCTGTGTGTGACGTCAAGTTGTATCTCCCCCTTCGAGTCCCGACACCAGCAAACTGCGCAGCTGGCTTCATACTGTCGAAGGCCTCGATCGCAAGTCGGCAGAGCTCTCAACACGCATTTGCAGTTTCACCCTTTGCCAACGGTTCCCAAGAGACAGACACGCACACACACACACTCATGTTCAGAAAGGAGGTCTAACCAACATGCCTATGTGACACCACACAACCCTTGCTGTGATGCCGGGCTCTTCGCAGGCCGCATGAAAGTGATGTGTCCGCAGGAAAAGCAGATAGTTATCGTTGCCAACACCCTCAATATCCGCAAGATGTTGGACATGATATCTGGGTTGTGGCCTTATTTGAGAAGACAGCGGGCGGCGGTCGATTCTTTGGCTTGGTGTGATCAAGTACATGCCCTCGGCAGGTGCGCTAGCTCTTGCGAAGAAGGAACATTTTGGCATCACATGCGGACTGGCACCCAGGTCCTTTGGTGCAATCAACTACAGAACCCTAGATATCAACACGCCGGAGCAGATCCGCGCCTCGCCTGCATTTCGTTTCCTTTGGTCTGTGAGAGTGCTTCAAGAGGCCTGTAGTTTCTGCAGCGGTTGGATTGCCGCGCCTTGATCAAATATAGAGAAGGTGCGTAGCTACTGGCCTCAGCATACACACATAGTGCATGAAATGATACACATGCTAGTCATCTATGCGCACACAGATCAAGAGATTTTCCACTAGCGCCCAGCAAGCAACCTCCAAAGGGAAAACGATACTGGCTATATGCTGTTGGCAGATAGAACAAGCGCCAAGCCAGGGCCAACAGCTGCACGAGCGGATTCATCGAAAGAAAGTGACCCGGCCTAGCGCACAACAATAAGCGCATGCATTTCGGTGCCACCAAAAGACAGAACAACTATACAAGTCAGTGGATTGAGCAAACCGGGGGTGACTTGTGGATGATGGACAAGGGGCTACTGAAATGGTAGGGACCCCCTCAAGAGTGGCTGGTGGACATGGCCAAGGGTGCACGTTCATGCCCCCACTCGCAATCAGGTCAAACATTTTGCAGTGGTCTCTGGCCAATTTGGCCATGGTTCAAAACCAATGGTACCATTTCGGGATAGGTGCACCACCCATTTTAGTTCATTTTAGTGGGGATTGGGATGTTCACTGGGGGTACGATTCGGGTTTTGACCCATGGCCATTTCGGGTTGGACATGGACTCACTGAACCTGAGCCGTCGATTTTTGCCCCCCGCACGCGGAAAGACTTCCGCCGACTCGAGCGCGCCATGGGACTGAGCCGCGCGGCGGCGGCTCGGCGCCTGGTCTTTGCTGCGCCGGCGGTGGGGGCCATTGTCCTGGCGCTGAAGGCGAGACGGGGAGGTTGTTTTGCTTGTAGCCTTTCTTTAAAACGGGTCTGAACTTTTTTTCTTTTTCTATCTGGGGACTAGGCATGGCCAGAGAAAGTCACTTCCTGAGTGGATTGGCGCTGTTGCTTCTCAATTTCTAAAGTATCTACAGAGAAGCTGAGTGTCTCATCCGCTTGTCCGAGAACACTCGAAACGCTTTCTCGAACATGTTGGCCTATTGAGGGTTTTGGAACGCTTGAAGCCGGGTTTTGATTATGACTCGCAGGTTCTGTCAAACTATTTACTCAATCATCAATCACGGAGGCACCACCTCCTTTCCCGTGTCCTTAGCGACTGCATATTTTGGCCCCCATAAAAGTTGGCGACTTGCCTTGGTAGCTTTTGCAAACATTTGGTCACTCTACATTTTGAGGTTGATTGAAAACGGTTTATGATCTGAAACAGTCATTTTAGCTGAGGTCATGTGGTCCCTTTAGGATCTTTTTCTGCCATTTGGACCAATCTGCTGTGGCGGCAAGCTTGATTGGAGCTCAGCTCCCCGAAAGTCGAAGGTTTTGCTTCAGATGACTTCTGCCAATTGGAAAGCCCCAAAACGAGGGTGTTTTTCAGGCTTCCATTTGCTCCAAAGACGGGCTTCAGGAAAAGCCCAAACGGAGTTGGGCTGGACTCGACGCAAGACCCGCCGCTGGCAGGAATGCCAAGAGGTGGACCCTCACAATGGTTGGGAAGGGACATGAAGTTCCCATTTGTGCCCACCAAAGAGCCCCCAAGCAAAATTCATAAGCTGGATGCCAATTGCTTTCCGAGATGGTTTCAGATACCCCGACCATTGCCACGTTTGGCAAAATGGGGTACACCATCTGTACATGGTGGCTGGGGTATGTCCCATTCAACCCCCACATCGTGGTGCTTTGGGGATGGACACCGTGGAGTCCGCAGGCGCGCTATGTCACCCCCGAGCAGCACTCGGGCTTTCTGGCCATTTGGTGCCTGGGGCCTGTTCGGTTCCTGAAAGCAGTGCCCTGGAGGCTGGAATCGGACACCGGCAAGCGCGGCAGAGAGCGGCGTTTTGGTGGGTCTCCTTAAATGGGAGATGAACGGAAGCCCGAAGACAGGTGGGTTTCGAATTCTATCTGGTTTTCCTGCAAGGCACAACACACCATGTTTTCTCGCATGGAGACCCATCAAGTCTATGCAGAAGGAGCAGTATTCGTCATCTAATGCAGGAAAGGGTGTGACTTGGGCAGAGAGTCCAAAGTACAACTAGAATATGGAGGTTAATGATTCGTGGACACAAACAATATTGCCCGTGACTTGTGTCCACAACCAATTCATATGATGATGGCAGGCATGACTCTGAGCCATGTAGTCGCTGTTTCGGGTAGGCTCGAGTTCTTGTACAAGTTGCTGCCGTGGCGGTCTCAGTTGCTTGCGAGTTTACATCCCGTCAGCTGATCCCTATCCTGGATGGATAGGTTCCCGAGGTGTCAGCCTTCTTACAAATGCACGTACTCCAAAAGTGGCCACGAACTGCTAGAGGTGATATCGGTACCCCCAAAATCCCCGAGTATGGCGCGTGGGTGGGGTATCATCTTTTTCTTCTAGGACCACGTCTCTTCCCGAGGTTGCTGAAGCTTCGGGGTGCCCAGACCTTCGCTCATTGGAAGTCTCGGCCCGACGATGTCATAGTGGCGGTCCCTGCGAAGAGCGGGACTACGATGATGCTGCAGGCGACGCAAGAAAGAAGGGGGTGTGATCAGGTGATCAGGGCTCCCTGATGTTGCCAGCTTGTTCATAAAACCAGTGTGGGCATGTGTAGGTGTGTTTCCTTTGGTGGCGGCGATGACGTTTAAGGCCCGGCGATGGTTGGTGGTTTGAATTTTCCCCTGGTCAGATGGCGCATCAGCTGCGGGTGCGTGGCATCTTGGCGGCGCCGTGTTCGGGGGTTTGTGTGTTGGCCCCGCTTTTTTTTGGTTGGGTGGGCCTAAAGGAAAGCCACAGGGAAATTGTGGGTCCCATTCTGACATACCCAATGTGTGTTTGCGCTTTTGAGCATTCCAGGTTTGTCGGCCAAGTTTCGGGTGAGTTGCGCCTTGGCTTCCGCAGATCGCGAGACCCAGTTTGGGGAACTGGCGTGGGAGATCCGAGCAAAAATTGGAGCCTCCTTTTCAATGGTCGGCCCATGCGCCGACTTAAGGAGCCTGGGGTGGCGACTTTGATTTCGATGACCAGATGGATGTGATTCCGATTCTGGAAGGAGCCGATCAGCCTGAGGGATGTGAGCCACGGATGAGGCAGATCATGGCGGAGCCCTCCTATTGCGGGGGTTTTGTTCATCCAGATCAAGGGTTGCACGTATTGATGAGGGGGTTTGTTCCTCCAGATTCATGGTGGCATCTGCCATTGATCAGGGGGTTTGTTCATCAAACTGGGCTTCGAGCCCCACATTTCTTCGGTTCTAAGGAGACCTACATGGCCATGGTTCAAAACCAATGGTACCATTTTGGGGTAGGTGCACCACCCATGTTAGAACCTATTTTAGTGGTTGGATTGAATCGGATGTTCACTGGGGGTACGATTCGGGTTTTGACCCATGGCCACATCTGCCGGCCTCGGGGGTTTACAAGCGGGGGGTTGAACCGGCGTGCGCAGGAGGCCCGGCAGCGCTTCTGGCAAGCAACGACATCAACAAGGAGCAGGCACACACACGGCACACAAGAAACACCGCCTGGCTGCAGGTGTCTCTGTCTTTTGTTATGTTTCTGTGTTTCTTTGTTTCATTGTTTCTTTTCTTCTTCTTTATTTCTTTCTTGCTTGCTTGCTTGCCTGCTTTCTTTCTTTCTTTCTTTCTTTCTTTCTTTCTTTCTTTCTTTCTTTCTGTCCTTCCTTGCTTGCTTGCTTGCTTGCTTGCTTGCTTGCTTGCTTGCTTGCTTCCTTCCTTCCTTCCTTCCTTCCTTCCTTCCTTCCTTCCTTGGAATGCTTGTACTACAAAGCCTGTAGATGTACGGTCCGTCAGTCCGTGTACAAAAGAGGCATCGCCGAAGTTGACAAACAAATTCAGGGAGGAGGGTGACTGGGGTGACTGGAATCATTTATACTTCCATTTCCACTTTCTGGGAACTAGGAGACTGGAGTTCAGGCACCTCCCCCCCCTTTCCCCCTTAGGGTGGGGGGATTAGAAAACACTGGCTGCTTGTGGCAGGTTGCCCACCCGCGGATCTACAAGTCGCACCTTCGGTTCAAGTCGTGCCCAGCAGTGAAGCGAGTCTACTGCTTCCGGGACTTGAAGGACGGAAGGACGTTGTACGAGGTCTCGCGTGCGTTTGGACAAGCATGGACTGCCGGCCTTGTGGCCATCTTGGGCTCTAGCATTTTAAAAATTAGTTCTGCTACGCCGTGTGCAACTTTGGAAGAAGCATGGGGTTGCGTTGGAGGCACTTGACATTTTCCATGTCTGCACTGAGTCAGCATCCGCCTCACTTCTGCATGAATAGTGAGTGCTCAGTTGACACGCTGTTTTCTTTGCGCAGCTGCAAGACTTTGGCAGCCTGGAATCAGACCACGGCTTCCTTTCCCTCAAACCCCAAACCTTGTGGGGTTTTTGAATTCGGTTCATACGTCATGTCCCATGCCAATCATTCGTGAAAGAGTCGGATCCGATCCGGGTCGAGAGGCGCTTTCATGGGCCGCTTCACGAGGGTGTGCTACCTCCGCTTTGATTGGTTGCAAACCCCCTGTTTTTAAGAGTTTCGCTGAACACGAGCCGCTGCTCGCCGAAGAAGACGGGCCACTTTTGTGTGTAGGGGACTTTTTTTTCTTCTTCTTATACCTTCCGTTTGCGCTAGGGAACATGGCTAGAGCGCAACGGAAGCTTGCTTGTCAGAACGTAGCACGAGGAAACGTGTGGACTGGCGCTTGAATAGTTCTGTTATGAGTGGTTTGTTTCCATCTATTTTTGAGGGACCCTCTCAAAATGGTTGAGCATGAATCTGCAGACGCTCGGTGTACCCAAAAAGCCTCAGTTCTACACCAAACAGCTGCAGTTTTCTCTTGTGCCCCTAGGCCCGGCAGGTTTTTCAGATTGCAGAGAAATCGTCCAGCCGCGTGCAGGATGTGCTCGTGAGCGACTGGCATTTCACAGCCTCGATGGTCGAATCTGAAGTGCCCCTAGAGAGTTTTGCCATCATGACGCTTGACTGGCACGAGAAGCATTGTTGATGGGGGCAAGCGTCCACTACCTGAGGGTGTTTTTTTGAGGGTACCTTCTCACCACCCACACCCATTGCCCGCTTACCCGCACCCATAACCACACCATGCCGCACCCGCCCGCACATACCCGTATGGCGGTTTCTTGGCGTCAGGAAGATTGTTCCCGGCGGCATTGACAGCTCATTGCGAGATCTCTGCGACTGGTGGGAACACCGCCATGACCCAGACGTGTGCTTCTTCTTCTACGACGATGTGCTGAGTCAGCGACGGGAAAGTGCTGCTTGCTTGCAACAGTCGATTTTGCGAGGACGCCCTCCAAGCTAGGCAATTGAACAGGTGAACCACAACCCAAATCAATCTGACACCCCCATAATTGACATTCAACGGCAAAACAGGGAACAACCGTTCCAGAATCTCTCTAGGGTCGTCTCTGGTCTTTCAGCTGGATGCAAGAAAGAGTCCTTTGGTAGATACTGATAGCCCAAAACATGGCATCCGGCATACTTCGCTGACGTGAAGCCATTGATTTTGCGGCTGCTGGTAATTCTATGCGGTTCGTTGACTTAAAGGCATTCTGAACCTGCTTTCCTTCATACGTGCTGCGGTTATCCACACCTTCAAATCACGTGGCGGCGCATGCACTCCTAGCCAGCACCAAATGCAACATGCCAGCATGCCTGTGTGGCTTGCGAGCAACTGATAATACTTCTGCTCTGTTGGTATTGTGGTGAAGACTTGAGGGATTTCTCGATTCACAACATATCATGGGGTTACCCAGTGTCCTATGTCCGCACGAACAGTGTACTGTCCGGGTGAAACCGGTGATGTTGTTTATGGCTTATATGAGGAACGGCCCGCAGAACGGATCAAGTCGAAAAGCTGAAGGGTTAGTTAAAAACAATCCTCCACCGTAAATAGGTGCAGATATTTGCTTGTTTGATTCTTTATTGGTGGGTAGACTCCTGAAATACCAGGTTTCTGTTGTGACTCGATGAATCGTGAAGCAGGTCGAACAATAAAGTCGCGGGGGTGGATGGCCAGTGCTTTTGATTTGTTTTTTGCAGATACCCTCCCTCCCACTAACATGGCAACTGACAGGGGTCCCTTCAAAAGGAATTCGATCTTCCAGGTACCTCCCTACAGGTGCCATGTTAGTTGGAGGAAGCGTACCATTTCTTTTGGAACGGTTTCACAGGGAAATTCAAGGAAACCAAAGGCCAGCGAAAGGGAAAGCAACAGGACCCATCCGTTTTGGAACCCTGGCCCCGTTTTGAGACCATCCCTGTGGAGGTGCTGCGCCTGCAGCGGTTCTTGGGCCTGGAGAAGGATGGAGATCTCGCGAGCCTCGTCACAGAGCAGAGCAGCCACGAGTTCATGTCCAGGCGGATTTGATGGAAGGGAAACCGAAAGCCGCCGTTTCGGGTGTCCTAAAAAGACAAAATCACATATTTCGGGGGTCCCCTTAGAAACAAGACCCATTTAAGGGATCTTACCTCTTTGTTCTTACATCTCAAATGGCAGTATAGATTTTGATGGTTGGGCGGAACAATGAAGGAACCGGAACTCAGGATTCAGACCCTTGATTTATAGAGGGTTCGGCCGTCCAAATGGGTATGTTGTTTATGGTTGGAACCAGGGGTCCATGTTTTGAATACAAGGTAGACAAAACCCTCGGTATACTTTTCTCATGAGACCCACACAAGTACTGTTTTGAAAAGGAGGTCCCGGTAAACATGCAGTTTGTTTTTGGTTTCTGCGGGGAGAACTCCAAGGCAGATTCAAACTCAGGGGTTCTCACCACATTTCAAACGGAGATACAAGGTGGACGGACAAGCGGAGCTATCTTCATGTCCATTAGGTAAGCTTGTATTGATCGTGTTTATGAGACACAATCAAAACTCAGGCGGTTGAAGGTTAGTGAAGCACGCAGTTGCAACCGGAAACAGCACCAGGTTTGATTACAACTCACTTGAATGGGAACCCATCGATCTGGAGGATCAGCAGCGTACCAGTGGGCCGTGCAGACTTTCCGGCTGCGCACAGTTGTCAATCACGCAAATCGCGCGCAGGCCTGAACATCGCCGCAAGTTTGATGACCACAAGGTGGTGCACGAGCTTGACAGCATGAGAGGACGGCGCAGTTTGTTCCTGCCACACCTCATTTCAATCATTTTCATGTCTCATGGAACAGGTTTGACGAAGTGGTGTGAGGTTTCCGATTTTGTGCCCAGCCCAAGCATTCAGATGGGGGGGTGGGGGGGGGGCAGGTCAGACTTTCTGATCCATGGCACATGCAGCTGCACGAAAAGCCGTGCACTGCGCATCCCCATGTTCAGCAAACCAACTGTCCATCCAAGTTCCCCAGCATGTGAAGCTGTTCACACCCTTGAGTCTGCGCGCGCAAAGGAAGTAGCGATAGGGGTGCAAACTGTACCACCCTCAAGTACCAGGCAGATGGCTGTGCGTTTGAACAGGAACAACTGCAAACGTGGTCGACAGAAATCCCAAGCACGTAAATGATGTACACCACAAGGCGCCCAATCAAGATTGATGCTCATATTGGAATCGAGCCATTGAAGAGGCCTCACAGTTTGTCTCAACTGACACTCAGCTCAGTTTCCAGGAGAAAACTTTGGCAAGTCCACGGAGCCCATCGCTTGTCAAATCGATTTCTCAAGCCACCAGATTCTCGCATCAAACGGCGGGCCATGCAGCGCACGAGCAGGCGGCAGAAGACGCGACAGGTTACCGTCCTCAACAAAGACCTCGAAGATACCCTCCCAACGTGGGGCCCAGTAAAGGAGTGTTTCTGAAAGAAAGTCTTCCTTCAAAAGAGACCCTTTGGTAGGTTCCATGTTGGAGGGTAAGGCGTTTCAAGTGAACGAAGGCAAATTTTCTTCCTACCCGTGCATCGACGCCCCCCTGCGGAAATCTTGGGCTGATTCATTCCGGTACGGAACAGACGGAAGGAGCATCTCATCCGTGCTTGTTTTCCCCTTCGAACACTTGCTTTACCCCCGGTTTGTTTGGACCAACTCCCACTAGCTTGCCTTGTGTAAAGCCAAGCCAAAGAGAAGAACTGGGGGTCCCCGATTTCGACACCTACCCGGCCACAGGAGTACAGCGCCGCGGAGAGCTGGTGGGCAAGGTGAGGGCTGGCGGGGGTGTGTCCGGCGGCGGGAGGGATCTGCCGGAGGCTATGCAGACGTGGCTGGACTGGAGGCGGGTGCGTGCCAGGAAAGTGATTTGGACCTAGAAGCTGTGGTTTTAATTCTAGCTTTCCTGTAAAGGGTACCCTCCAACACACAAACACAAACACACACACAAACACAAACACAAGCAAGAACAGGAACACAACCACAACCACAAACACACGCAAACACCAGCACACACGCAAACAGAAACGCGCAAACACAAGCACACGCAAACACAGACACAAACACACAAACCCACACATATGAATGGATGACTCGAAGCAGTTTCGCAAGGTTTGATTTGACGCTACTCTGTAGGCATTGTCCTTGTAAGCCATGTTCAACCTTCCGCCAGATTACCTGCAACCAATGGGAAGGGCTTACGCAGTTTACACATGACTACTCTTAGAGTATTTTGACCATAGTTTGTGTAGCACGAGGAATCCTTGCGGCGGGGGCCTTCGCAAGTTTTGAGGGTAACTCCTATGGTTTAAACGGAGACCAGAAGCTTCTGCAAAACCCGTCATTTCGGGGTGCCCCCCTTCTTGGCCGCGCCCCACTCCCATCGCAGATGGCGGTGCATCGTGCAGCAGCGCCTGGGATTCCGGGACCTCCGGGAGATGCGGGCCGCCTGGGCGGCTGAGCGCGCGCGGGGCGGATGAAAAGGGTGCGACGAGGGAAGCCCGGAGCTCTAAGCTGTGCCTGGGGAAAGGAAGGGAAGCCGCTCAACATGAGCCACAATCAAAACCCGGGTAAATGAAAGTTAGTAAGAGACAATCTCAACCATAAATAGCTGCAGCCGCCTTCTTGATTCTTTACATGGTTCTGGCCGACCATTTTAATACCGGGTTTGATTGTGACTCACATGACCATGGACTATGGGAAGTGAACCGGTGCCCATGAAGCAAAGACCTGGCAAGTTTGTTGTTGTTTTGTGGCAAGGTATTTTTTTTCCTTTGATACTTGAGCGAAATATGTTTTGAGCATCCACTGGTGGATGCCACATATTGCAAGGGAACAAGCAAGTTATTTTTGGTTCACCGTAGAATGTTTTGTGGTCAAGGCGTGGCTTCCTTGCAATAGGGCGTCAACGGCGCCCTCCCACCATGGAGGAGTGCACATTTTTTGGTCCGAAGGTAAGCCCAAAGAAGGCTGTTCAGTTTAAAGGTTCTGCTGATTGGCGATTAACCCACGTGAAACCCAGCAGTCATGTTCCGTGGTGGGAGGGGTCAGGGACACTGGGACACTCATGCGAAGGCGTGTGTCACTTTTTGGGGCGAAGCATTTGGTGATTCGAAAGCTGTTAGGCACGCAGAGCCTGAGAAGCTTCGAGATGGCCAGCCCGTCGTGATTCCCGCGATTGGTTCTTTCCCTGCTCCACTGGTCGGGTGCATTGCCTGTCAGGAAACTGCATCAACCGCTCGGCTGGTCGGGCTGCGTTTGTTTCGGCATTTCTCGGTTGTCTCCGCTGTCGGAAGCATGCGTCGAGCAGCGGCGCGGGCTTTTTGCGCGGTGATTCACCGGATCGCCAGGGCCAGGTGTCCATGTTGTTGATGACCACCGACGTCTCAGCTCGCCGAGATTTCGACTTCGGCAAGGCGCCGGAAGCGGGGTCGTGAGTACCCGCCCGCCAACACACATGGTCAGGACCCCCCCCCCCACCCACACCCTGCTACTTTGATGAGCCTGCCCATGTCATTCCCTTTCCCATTCATGGTAGATCATAGTAATGTCGACCCATGATTGCCCTCGTCACCAACAAACAGGAAAGTGCACGCTTGGCGTAGGAAAAAAAATCGCCTCCTCACTCGTCACTCCTCAAAGGGGACGTTCCTGTTTTGGTCGGATTCCTTCCTGCGAGGCGACCCCACTGATTGGTTGGGATTCATTTTGGGGTCGTTCATCAGAGCTGCTTTGCATGGGATTCATCCATGCCTTCGATCCATGCCTTCGGCCTGGATGCAATGCGACCCGATCAACAGGTTCTAATAAAGTTCCGATCGCTTGCACCAAAGACTCATGTGTTTGTCGCACCCGATTTCGATTCCCATTTGTGATCGAGAGTGGATTTGGCGGCCTTTTTTGGTTTCCCATTCAACGGGTCACCTAAAACTTTGTGGCAGGCTGCGCCGGTACTCATCAACTTCGACTTCCCTATGACCTTGCAACTCTACATGTACCGAATCCAGAAGCGGGCAGACAGGCAGACTTGAAGCTTAAGCAGACGCAGATGCAAGCATGAGGGTTGCCGGCACTTCAAGTCTATGTTTTGTTTTGTGGTTTGAGCATCACTTTCCTTTGATTTGACATCACTTTTGGGTTGCATGTTGTTGTGGGCTGGATACATGAGGGCCCCGCAGTGCTTTCACATCCCCTCGTCTCACGCCCGCTTTGCTTGTTTGTCCCCAAAAGTGGCCTGTGGGTGGCCAGATTGCGGGCGCAGGGGTCCACAGTTCCATTCTGCACATTTTTCTGGGGCGAGGGCGCGGGGGGGGGGGGGGGGACGGCGGTGTTATGAGACTGGTCCTTTGGTCTCCAAAGAGAGTTACCTTTCAACCCCCACGTGAAGTGCCCAACCCTCCACTGACTTGCGAATTGTATCCGGCTTTATGAATCCTTAAAACCCGGATGGCCGGTTTTCGGCGTTGCTCATGTCTTCCATGGTAACACATGGTTGCTTGGGCTTCAGTGGGCCAGGTGGACCTCTAAGCAAAGAATTTATGACAACTATTTTACGAACCATGACCATGACAAGGAGTTCTGACGGCAAATTTGGAATGGGCTCGTCTTTCTTTGGAACCCCTTTCTTTCGGTTGGTCTTCAAAGGGACACCAAAAGGGCCAACTAGTCTAACAACTGTTTCAAGACGCATTCACATGAGCAAGCGACGAGAAGCGGGGCCACTCAAATTTCAACCAAACAACCATGGGGAAAACAATGGCTTTCTTTCTTTATATGGCTATAGGCCAAAATAAAACCTAGGGGACCGCAGGTTTTAGTCTTTGTTTCCATTTACCAGGGCAACCCATTTGGGGTACCTATTCTTGACTCCCCATATTGAAGCCCTCGCTACCTTTCGGGCTCCGGTGTTTTCCCTGTGCAGCTCCACGCACGTCTACACCTTCTTCTCGCCCAACGATGTGCGGCACGCCGCGTCGCTGATCATCGTGCTGGAGGGCGCCAGGCAGAAGGCGTGACGGCTCTGCTTTCCGGTTCCGAGCCACAAGCAAAACCCAGGTAGATGGGTGTGGCTCAAATTTGTACCAAAATCGCACCAAGGATGGAACAGACTAAAAGCTGCGTAACCCTAGCTCTTTGAATGAAGGTTAGTAAGGGGGGATCCCAACCATAGCGGATATCCGCCTTCTTAATCCTGTAGCTGTTTCTGGGTAGACCATTTTAGTACCAGGTTTTGATTGCGACTCACATGTTGCAGGCGCATGAGGCTGGGTGAGAGTTTCCCAGTTTTGAGATGGTTGGTCGGAAAATACCAAGTTTTGACCACGTGTGGCTATCAATAGGCAAACCGCTAAGATCCGCTTGGCGGACAGACATGCTTGTGTAAATGCTGCCCTGCCATGGGAATGTGTTCTCAAATGAAAGGTTTGGTCAAATATTCCAAAACAGGGCCCCTACTTCTCCTACGTCCATTAGGGGAGCAGCATATTTTAACCATGGCTTTAGAGCTGAAGTTTTGTTACAAGCATGACTCGAACATCAAGTGGGGTATGTACATGTTTTGGGATGACAAACATTCAACCCTGCAGGAACATGGGACAACACTGGGCACCCGTTGCAGGTGGTTGGAAGGGGAACAATCTTCACTAGCAGGGCACTGTTTGAAGACAACACGCTCTACGGCAAGGGGAACGGAGCCAAGTGACATTCACCAGGCGATGACCCATGGCCCAAAGCAGATTTTTCCTAGCACGAGTGCTTGAACGCACCCGTCAAAGCACACATGTGTAGAGAAGCTCACCTGCATGCAAGGAACCTCTGGTGCTGTCAGGTTCCAGATGCCCTCAGGAAGATGAAGGACCAGGCGAGAGTTGCTGAAATTGTATAGGTCGAGACATTTTTGATTGTGTCGCAACGGACACCTTTTGATTGATCACTCTTTGGATGTTTCATGCAGGAAGGATCCCTTATTCCTCATTTTCAAGATCCCACATAGACATACCTTCGTCTTGCGGATGTCTCGGCTGCAGGCCAAGGCTGATGGCAAGAAAGAGCAAGGCCCGTCATCATGTTGCTGAAACTTGGATGATTTGGGAGTACTGAATCCCTTCCCCCAGAATTGAACAAATGAGCCAATTCCCAACTCCGCCCCAAGTCGTACGGTCTTCAGATTAATGCTTGGTTGACCTTAAATGAGCCAGCTTGCCAGCGATTTGACGTCCTGCGGTTAATTCAAGAGCACATACCACATGGCAAACGCCAGTGTTCTAAAAGAACAATGAGTCATCATGACAGTTTGAGATGGCGTCATCATGGTCCAACTAAACGGTGGTCACGGGTCAATTGATACTATATCCACTAAGTCACATGAGTCTTCCCAACTCTCTCAACCATTCGTCAGTTTTCATGCAAGCCGAACGTGTGCGGACGTCCCAATGTCTCGCCATCCATGACTTTTCTAGTGGGGAACCGTGAAACCCTCTGAAAAACCGGTTGGAGCACCGTGACACCCTCTGAAAAACCGGTTGGAGCACGTACCTTCCCACCAATTCACACCTGGATCCGTTCGACGTTCGGGGAATGGGTCTTGGCTCCGGTTCCTGCCAGGCCGCAGGTCCAAAGAGCGGGAAGACGAGGCGGGGCTTCGATGCGCTTCCCGTTTCGGTGGTTTTGGGTTGGGGTTGGGCCAAGCCAAGCACCGTTTTTTTTTTTTTTTTTTTTTTTTTTTTTTTTTTTTTTTTTTTTTTTTTTTTTTTTTTTTTTTTTTTTTTTTTTTTTTTTTTTTTTTTTTTTTATATATATATATATGTATATATATATATATATTAGCGTGTTTAGAGAGTTGCAAAAAGCAAATCAGATCTTAGTTACACACATTGTTTAGAGAGTTGTTTAGAAAGTTGTTGAAACAACCTGCTCTTGGAAACTCGAATCAAGGGTCCGAGGGGTATGACCATTTTGTGCCCACTGGTTTGTGTTGACATGGGTTGGACCCCCTTTTGGCAAGTTCTAAAAAGAAACAGCATCACATTAAACAATCCGCTGGATTCCAGGTAATCTTCGCACACGCACACATACACCCCGTTTGTAGGGAAGGAAGGAACTCAAGTTGCTTTGTGGTTTGATAGGCATAAGCGCAAAAAGGCCTGGAAGCATGTGTTGAGCCACCATGGTTTGCACAGCTAAGATTTGGGTCTGTCTCAGCATGGGGAGGGGGTCATACCCTGGTTCCTTGGTCACGGGTTACCAACCCGCATGAGTTTCAAGTCCAAAAAATAACTTGGGGGTGGGTCAGCACCAAACCACCAGGAGACCGCAGGTTTTAGTCCTCGGTATCATGTACCAGGGTTCCATTTTGGGTACTCATGCTTGACTCACAGCCATTTACTTGAAGGTGTGTTTCTCCCTAGGGCTATGAACAAAAGCATTCCTTCTATTGAGTACCTCAGCCAAGAGCCGGCGTCAATCTTAGATCCGACGTCAGGAGGCTGGAAGCAAAGGCTCCAAGAGGCGCGAGCTGGGCTCCTGAGGGGCAGACTTAGGCAGACTGACGATCTACATTTAAGAAACAAAAACATTATATATAGATATATACCACACCACACACATTTGATGAGGTTTTGACTGCATGCGGGTGTCCGACCCCAATGCTTTTCTTCTTTTCAGTCCCGTCGCCACAGCTTGCTTGGCATGACAGGCATGATGATCGCAGATGGGAGGGAGGACGAGACTCACGAAGGTGCGTTTTGCAGTACGTGCATTTTTACACAGCAGAGCGAGAGAGAGAGAGAGAGAGCGAGCGAGAAAGACAGAAACAAAGAGAGAGAGAGAGAGAGAGACACAGAGAGAGAGAGAGAGAGACAGAGAGAGAGAGAGAGAGAGAGAGGGAGGGGGGAGAGAGAGGGAGAAAGAAGCACATGATGGCTCAAGTATGCGTGAAGCTCTTATCAGCAGGCCGAAAGCAAGAAGCGCTTGCCATGGGACAATGTTGTTGCAACGGGCTCCCCGATTAAGTGCCACATGATACGAACCAGCAGTATGATTGCTTATTCACCTGAGCGGGCCACAGTGCCCCTGCAAAGCAACCCTTAGGTTGTCAATAGTTTGATGACCATCACAAAACAACAACACCCCGACAGCGCCTTGTGCCCCTCAACTTTCTGAACTTATCGCGTGCTCGTTCATGGGCAATGAAGTGTCTGCCGAGCCGGAGGAAAGGCTCGAGGCCGGCTGCGGAGGTGTCGACTTGGAAAGCCTCCCTAGGATGCGAAATTATGGTTCATCCTTTGATATGCATAGGAATGGACGGGAAGAGATGAAGCGGAAGCTGGAAGTTCCTTCGTGATGCTATTAATTCCGTTTCATCCAACGCGTCTCTGGAGGCACCTTGAATTCGAGCCATGCTTTCTCAGCTGGTGTTTGTTGAATGGGACCTGGGTCCAAGTGGACCATTTGTCTTCCCACTGTCAGGGGTCCGAATCGAGGTGACAGCAATGACGGTTTGGGGCCCGTCAGCAAACTCCCCAAAGCCAATGTCAGGAAGCACCAGCTGTCGTTGGACTTTGCCCGAGGTCCTCCAGGTGGACGTGGATCTCCAATTGGAGAGCCTTGGAGTTTGATTTTCTCCGGACCTGACGCGCTTCATTGGGCGAGGCATGGTAGCGTGGCCACCAGGATTTGCCAAGGCCGAACGCTTTGGAGGCCCGACATAGTTATGGGAGTCCTTGATTGACCTGTGTGTGGTTGCCGGTAGCGTTTGGTTGGCGTCAGTACCTCCTGGGTATCGGAGTATTCGAGGCATCTGAATACTTGGCTTTCCCTTCATTGGTTACCTGACACGGTTGGCTTGTTTGTCTGACATGGTTGCATGCAAGGGAGCAGCAACATTCTACCCTAAGCAGGCTGTCGATGTGAATTATGCGTCCGTGCAGTGCTTCATGTCAATATGTTCTTTGCTCACGTGTGCATCCAGCCCAAGAATGCATCTACAGATCATGTGATGGTTGAAAGAAGACTCAGCATGCATAGAGTCAACTTATATCTGCAGAAGCATGGGAAACACGGAATCAATCCAATTGTGACAGTGGTTGCAGTCCCTTGCTCATGCGTTTGTGTGCCAAGAACTTGTACGCTTGCTTTGGATGAAGCTCAGCCAAGGACTGATGCCGCCTCAGTCAAAGCCAGCAGCGCAAAGGTCGTTCGGAAGACTCTCACAGCTGCCACGCTTGCTCCATACAAGATGGTCCAGACCCCTGGCAACAGCCCGTCATTGACGGTGGGCACCGGAGGTGAACATGGTAAAAGGGTTTGCTTTGGCTCGGTTTCAGGGCCCAACCTTCTGCCCTCGGGTTGAAGGATTTGGAAAACAGCCCTAAAAACCGCCTCAGGAAGACGGCCTCGGTGGGGTCTGCCGCCTGGGCGGCGTGGAATGCGAGCCGCCCCACAGAGCAGGCGCCAGGGTTCGGGAGAAGTGGATATAATAGGTTGTCTTCAAGGGGAGTGGACGTTGTTCGTGTCTGGACCAGATGTCAGTCGACTTCTATTCTGAGTCATTGAAGGAATGTTGCCATCTTCCACTGGGGGGTGTACCCCTAATTGCACGCTCTGACGCAAGGAATTGCAGCTATCAAATGTATTTGCTAATGCAAGCCATTGCGAGCTTGGTTAGCCGAGCTCCTCGCGTTGTGGCAGGTCGACAAGTTGCGCGATCACATCCGCCGCCGGCTCAATGCGACATGTTTGCAGTGAGCACGCATGTTGATGAAGCTGGGAGAGTGGCGCTGAACTGTCAGACTGATGAATCTTAGTCACACCGCGAAGCAGTTGTGGCTGGGTGTCAGACCAAGGACTCTGTTCCGGATTCTGGTAATCGCGCCGGTTTCCTTTGGGACCATCCCAGAGGCTTGCTTTCCAGCCAAGGAGCACGTCAGGCCGCTCGATGAGATCCACGAGTTGTGCGCGACCATCAACCATGAGCTGGATTATCACGAGGCGGTCCGGTTCTTTGAGGTTCCTGTTCCATGTGTTTTGTTTTTGAGCAGGACTTGCTTTGCATGTCTTACTTTCGAGATGCGAGATAGGGACCAGTGGGTGAACCTGTTTCCCTTCCAAAGAGTGCATTCGGGATGGTCCTGGCCAAGACCTCTGTTGAGGGGGCCCGTTCTTGAAGCATTCATGGAGCCTTGCTTTTTGTCGTGTGTGCTGGTTCCACTTTTGACAAATTTTGTTTGGCACTCCATGTATGAACGAAGTCAAGGCAGGCTTGAGGCAAACAAACGTGCGAAGGACCCAGCCACCTTCCGGGCAGCTTTGGCGCAAGCCTACGGGGACGACCTGAAGGCCTGAACAAGTCGGCAAGATCGACATCTCGGGCAAGTTGATGGTGTTAACTTGTTTGCCCTTTGATCTTCAAGTTCTTTTTGGAAATCAGCAGGTTCCCCGCCAAGCAAAAGCATGTCTTACAGAGTGTCGAAGACCGTCCTAGAGGCGGCCTCGCACGACCCTATTCGAGAGCCACAACCTGCGATTTCAATTTCGCCAGGCTGGCGTCCTGATAGTCCAAGACAGACTTCACTCTCGAATGGCATTTGTGGTGAAAGACAGCCCCTGGGCCGGACATCATTTGCAGCCACATGGGAATGCGCGGGTAGCATGTTCACAGGTGGAGCAAAGTGAGGGTTCGGAGCGCTTTGACACTCTCAAGTACTGGGACCCAGCCAGAAATCTATTGCTTTCCGTTAGGCCAACAGGATGCCTTTTTAATGGTGTTCCATACCTTCCCAATTTGTTTAGTATGCAATCGCTGAAAAAGATGGCTGACGCGGTGCCAGGCTGTAGAGTTTGAGCCCACTCCTTATCGGTTCAGCTCTTGTGGATCACGCGAAAAAGCGATTTGATTGCCACAAGCACGTGCAAGACAGGGCAACACCAGCACACACACACACACAGATACACAGATGACGTGACATGACATGCCATGACATTATTTTCACTTACATGCATCCCGCCACAATGCATCGCATCGTATCACACCACATCACCTTGTATGACATGTCATGCAGATACATGTATGTATACTGTACAATCTACAACAATACATTGGCATGCATGGATTACTCCTCAAATTCAAGAGAAATCATGTGGCTAGGTACTTTTGTTTGGCGCCTGAACGTATGTCTATCATTACAAGCGCATCGCCCCAGCCTTTACGCCAAGGCGTTGCTGTGGTGGCATGGCGCGGGTCAAAGACACCTGTGGAATTGGGCACTGACGCTGGCTTCTCACCAAGCCTTTGCCATCTCTGGGCCGACATCTCCGACTCTGAGCTGCCGTTCAGTTACTCAGTTGCCGTGATCCTGAGTGTTCCCCATATTTTCCCTTTTGGCCAACTTACACATCACTTTTGGGGCCAACTTAAAAGTGCATGTCCTTCTGGTGGGTGATGTCAAAGGGGAAAAGTGTACTCTATAGCCTGTTCCAACCAACATGTCGTGCAAAGTTTTGGGCTCCTTCGAAATAAGCCCTTTGAGACTCACTCTCGAACGCATGTAGCATACTCATTGTCGTGTGTGAGAGGCGGCTTGCTAGCAGCTTAACTGTGGCCGATTCTAAGCAGTTTCCATCCCACTTTTTATGGTTGTAAGTCCCACTAAGTGACTTGTGATGGGGTTGCGACGAGGTTGCAAACCACTTAGTAGCTCTTCAATTAGAGTCCCTTTTCCTCCTGACCGAACTCAAGTCTTTCTCTTCGAAAAAGGTGCCGGGACATGGGGGTGGCCTTTTCCTTTCTTCTCACCGGTCACTCCGGTCACTTGGCTTCTTTTGCGTCGCGAGCTTTCCGGCCACCAAGATTCCAGCCGAATGTCCGAATGTCCCCTCAGCAGCCTCAGGAGGAGATCCAGGCGCACGGGGCCATGATGGCGGTGGTGGAGCACGACTTCCTGATGCACCGCCGGAGCTTCTTCCAGCGCCTCGAGGAGCTGCAGATTCAGCGCCTGGTCTTCTCAGGCGCGAAGCGGGGAAGCGGCTTGCGACCGATTGTGACGGGGGTTCCCTTTCCCTGGGGGGTCCCAACAAAAGACGCCAAGAGGGGAACATGGCGCCATGACTTTCGGGCAAAAAGTTGGCTGGTTTTGTTGTTTTGCGTTGGAATGGATGGCTGGAACCAGGGCTTCATTGTTGTTGCCCTCGAGAATGATTTGAAGCAACCATCCCTAAGTTGAAGTTAATCTTGTTGGTCAAAGAAAAGAGAACGCGGGTTGGAACACCCTCCAAAATGCTTGGGACAGGACATCAATCCAGCCATGTCATTCCTGATGTCCAGACAAGTGCAACTGATTCCAAATTGTACGCGGGTCGAACTCCCGAAGGTTCTCATTTCCTTTTGCTGTCCCTTTACACCACCCCGAAAGGGTACCTTTAAAAACAAAGCAAGAGACTTGTGGTTGTATGGGTATATCATGTGGGTGTGGAACAAAATTGAACCACCAGGATATGGATCGCAAGTTGCAGTCCATGTTTCCATTTGCCAGGGCAACCCATTTTGGGGCTTCCAACTATTTTTGACCCACAGCCATCTTGCCTTAAATCAAACACTTTCCCACGGGTACCCAAAAAGGCACACAGCCACGGGTTGATTCCCTTCGTCCAGGCCACTCCCTGGGCGGCGGCCTCGCGCAGATCGCGCACCTGGCAGCGCTGGGGCAAATCCGTGGGGGGAAGATGAAGCCGGTGGTTGCT